GTTTTCCATATTCTAATAAGTGAAAAACAGTGCAAACTTGCTTTGGTTTTTGGCTAGAGTGCTCAGGTTCCTTTGCTTTGAATCCTGATTGGGTTTTGGAAAAAAATCCAGAGCTTCAGGGGTTTGGGGGGTTACCTGTTGGTTCTTGTGGTTTGAGAAGGTGTAGAATGGTGGAAACAGGATTTCTTCTGCTTTTCTGTCTGTGAATCAGCATAAAATGGGAAGAGGAAGAAGACCTGGTTTGCTGACAGTCCTTCCTGCTCTTCGTGGCAGCTCTGGACGGTGCCAGCACACAACAGCAAGTTGTTCCCTGCAAGAACGGGATGACCATAGCAATTACGTGGGTCTTGGCAGTTCTGGGGACTCTGATAGCCAGAATGGGTTGTTATTTTGAGAACTGAAGGCCAGAGGTGAGCTTGACAGAATTTCTTTATCAAGTCCTATTTTAGGTATTTACTTGTTTAATTTGAAAGGCCCATGGATGTTTGCATTTCCTTTGGTGGTGGGGCAGCAATGTGTGGATGGGGGAGTCTTAGCACTGTGGCTTGTTGCACCTGAGTGGCATTACTTTGCTTAATTCTTTGTGTTTGGTGTCTGAAAATATTGGGTAAACAGGATTGTGAAGAAGAAAGCTGGTGGCCTATGTGCAGGAAAACGACCTGTTCATGAACATTAAATAATATTCATTCACTTTAGCTTACAAGTATTTGCCATATAGTTTTAAATGGGAGAATGTGGTGTGGTTAAAATCAGGAGGGATGGCTTATCCAGCTGCTTGGGATGCTGCAGATACATCCTGGGTGAATTGCAGCTGCCTTTGAGTAGTACGTAAAATCATTTTGGACATGCTTCTATAGCTCATCCTTACCGCGATGCGTCAGTGAATTAAGTTGACTTTGAGAGTGGGGAGGAGTGGATTCCCAGCCGTGGGAAGGGGTGGGTAAAAGTTGAAGCATAGTGTTATATTTCAAGCTTCATGTTTTGATCTGATATTTGATCCAAACCCTAGCAGCAGCCTCCAGTCACATAGAGAGCCCAGGAAGCTTTTTTAAGGTACTGTGTTACACTTCAAGCTGTGTTTGTGTTTTCATGACTTAGCGGAAAGGTGGCTGCTTAAAGATTTTGGTTTGGCCTTGAATGCAAGATTCCTTAAGCTACTTGAAAAATACCATCTGCATGTTAGTTTAGTTACTTCTGCTACATATTGGATTCAGCCTTTGGCTCTTGCAATATCCAGAGGATACTAAGCATCTCACTTGTAAGGAGGCTTTTGGAGGTGGGAAACCAGATTTGTCCTGTACAAAACCCCCCGGATTTAGAGAAGTTCTTAACCTACAAGCTGCATTTTTTTTGAGTGATCACAGCATGGAAAAGCGGTTCCATTTTAACAGTGGAGAGTTACTCTGTCCCGCTGACTCTGTAAGGGGAGGCTTGAAAGGAGCCACCGTGTTTTGAACATAGTTCTTGTTTGAGAGCTGCTTCGGATCCTGGAGTTATGCCCGCATAGCTGAGTTTTCCCAGGGTGCTGCGTGAATGCTAAGCGTGTTGTAATGAATTTCGAGTGGGCAGCAGCATAAGCCTGCTCTCATTTTCCCTGGAAGACGCTGCTGCATTGTCTTGTCTGTATCCTGAAAGCCTCAGTGTTGTTTGTCAAAGGCTTGATTCTGCAAGTGCCATGTATGCGAAGAAGCCCATGAATAGGAAGGACTTGCCGTGCTGGTTCTCGGCTCCTCACGTAATGCCCAGAGCCAGAGCAACCGGCAACAGGCTGAAGCAAAGCAGTTTTTGTTAAAGTCCTGGTATTCTGTGGGCATGCACTCTCCCACACATGAGATGTTTAAAATTGTCTAGTTATGTTCTGATAAGGCCTAGGAGTTGCTTTCTGCCAGGCATATGCATGTGTTTAGGTAGGCCCTTGTTTCTGTGCCATATATAGAGGGACTGGGCAAAGGTTGGCGGAAGTGAAGTGATGTGATTTGCTTATGGCCACATGTGTGCTGGTGGCAAGTTGAGAAGCTGTCTGCATCTCCCAACTCTCAAACTAGTATTTTGGCCATGAACCAACTTGTTTGCAGACTGTGTATATGTGCTGTTATCTCTTTCTCTTGCTCCTCACGCATGTGAGGGAAGACAAGTGATGTAACTGTACAAAAACTCGGATATGGATGTTGAAGCTTAGTGTTGCATGCTGGCATTAGCATCTGATGTAGGTGTTTATGCATTGCAGTTAGCAGATCAAAAATCCATGCTGATAGCGTTAGGCATGATGGTAGACATGGGGCGTGGGTAATCATGAGCTATCACCTGCTTAAGCAAGGTGGGCAAGGGATGGTGGACTTGGAAAAGGTCAGCTTGCTCCCGCTGGGTGGGTTTAGGAAGGAAGAGTTGCTGCCGAGGGGCCTGAAGTATGAGGGCTGAATCTCCTCCCTCTGGTGTCTAAAAGGGAAGGGTCTTTTGACAAGGCTGGGGCTGGGGGGAGGGCACGGAAATCTCCGGCACTGGCAGCTGGTGACTCCGTAAGTACTTGTGGGTCCCAGACAGCCCTTGCTGCTCTCATGCAGACTGCCATGTTTGCAGGGATTCCTCGGTTGTTTATCTCCAAGGATGTGCCCTGTGTGAGCAGACAGGGAGGAGTCTTGGGCCCAGGTGTACCTTATCTTGGCTACTTCTAGGAAACAATGTTAAGATGCTTCCTTGTACAAACTTTTTTCTAAACACATCCTGAATTTTGCTGACAGGTGGCTTCCTGGATGTTTACCTTTTGAGATCAGCTCCTCTGGAGCTGTGGGAGCGGACCCGGTTCTGTGCTACGCCTCATTTATTTTGGGGAGAATGTACTTCTTGCTGATCTAAGCCTCTTGAAGTGTGCCAGTTTAGAGCTGAGTGCATTAGAGGGAAAGGTCAGAAGGCTTTTACTGAAGCGGTTTCAGTAAGATCAGTGCAGGACTGATGTTACAGGCAGCATGCATTGGTAGCCGAGTCGAGCTGTTCACCTCTTTCTGGCAATCTGAATCACAGTTCCGGAGCTAACTGACATGTGCCTGAGCCACAGCAGATGTCTGCTCGCCTTAATGCACCCGGCTGCAAAACCACGACAGTCTGGGAGGTGATTCATGGGCTCTACCTCCACTGTAAACAGTCTTTTGCGTAGGACTTAAGATTTGTCCCTGTGTTGTGATTAAGCTGCCTTGGTAACAGGTGCAACAACTGAAGCAAATACACCCGAAGAAATTTTTATCTGAAGAGGTACAGCAGGACTGAAAATACATGTGGTGGGGGAATTATAATGGCTCCACATGTATGTTTTGTTTTCTTAGTACAGGGCAATGCAGAAAAGGAAACACCATCAGTTCTCTCGGGCAGCGTGGAGACCTGGTTCATGACAAACTTGCTTCTACGATAAAGCTGTGAAGTTAAGTAAACACAGTGTGAGAGTTGGGGTGTTTTCAAGGCACTTAGCACCCTCTGGATAAATTTGATTTTGTGCCCTTGCACTGTGGCAGCTGCAGTCCCAGCTGAAGAATAAATGTGCCAGTTCTGCCCAGCTTTATTTGTGAGATAAGTGCCAGTCTCTGAAATGAGCCTGTCTGCCCTCTGATGAAAGCATGGCATTGATGAAAGCATGGCATTGTTTTGTCCCACTTTTAGGTGTCTTAAAATGTGGGTCACTGAGATGCAGGACATATTAGTGTAACAATTTTAGGCCTGAAGGGACAGTGTTGGCTATTGATGCCTGTTAGAGTGTGAAAGTCAGGACTTCTAGGTCAGCTATTACTGATAGATGAGTTTGATGCAAGCGTTGTTTAAAGCCTCTGCTTTAAACAGAGGTTGGTTTCAGCTTGTTCTTTTCTGGATCTTAGTAACAGAATTTGAGTCTTGGCTTTTGGGGAGAAAAAAAAAGATGCCTACTTGTAAAAGAGTTGCGGGATTGCTTGGGGAGAGTTCAGAAATGGTACACGGTGTGGTGTATCTCCTGGCTGTGGTTGGGAACTGGGCCTATCTGAACGCTACTCTTGGTCCTGCTGTGCATGGCAGGACCATGACCACCACTTCTTCATCTTCATCAGCTTCTGAGACCTGGTGTGTGTCAAGGCCTCAAATGTCTTGTGTCCCCCTGCCTGGACTGTGTATTTGCTCTATTACTGAGCAGCAGTATAAAAAGTACACGTTGGGTTTGTGTTTCTTATGCTGGGTAATAGCCAAGCAGTGATGCAAATGGCATCCAGTGGTCCAAGCAGCTGAAGAAAGGAGGTCTTCATCCAGAGAGCGTGGTCCCCCTGCTTTGGTGCGGGAAGCTGGTCCTCTGAACACCTCCAGGCTGGAAGTGCTGTTGTATGATGCGACCATGTAATTTTATGAGAGAGGCTGATCTTTCTTGTGTCTGTTTGAGAGGACAGAGGGAGTAAAACTATATGGATAACTTCTGTTACCTACCTGTTTTACACAAAAGCAGGAATTAGCTAGGACTCAACACAGGAAAAGTAAATTGAATTTTAATCTCCACAGCACAGCATGTTAGTGGTTGACCTCAGAGTGTTTGTCTTCATTCATCAAATGCCTTTGCAGCTCTAATAGGAGTTGTAGTGTGCATCACTGTGTTGGCGACAGGAGGCAAAATCTCTTTAAGAACATTTTATGAACAAAAGTGGAAACTGTGATAGCTGTAAAATTTAATATCTTTATCAACTGTGGTCCTAAGTGAGCTTGTGGCATTCACTGGTGTTTCAGTGGCAAGTACCAAATACAGTCAAAATTTCTGGTCTTATTTCAGGCTGCTGCATGAGCATTTCCAGAAGCTTGGTAAAATTATGTTGCTTGTTGTGGCAGGTCTCTGTGCTGAATGATGCTTGTTAGGGATCATTAACATCCCACTTGCAGGTGCCAAGTCTGGATGCCGCTGTCAGAAACGCTGTGGTGATGAAGCCCATTACACAGCAGCAGTTTCAGGGACAGTCTGCCTGTCTATTTATCCTGAGTGTATTCTTATGTTTGTATCCTGCAGGTCATATTGATCATGGACAGTGAAGAAATCCCGACTTTTTCAAGTCCAAAGGAGGAAACTGCGTATTGGAAAGAGCTTTCCTTGAAGTACAAACAAAGGTACTGTTGTAGATTGGCAGGCTGGATTTGGTTCTTAATGACCAGAACATTGTTTAATCTGTTTCTCTGCAAGGCCACACCAAGATGGGTATTAGATATTTTAGGAAGAATCTCTGCATTTCCAGCTTTAAATCCAGCTTTACAATTTCCAGCCTTGTGGGAGCTGAGTGTTTCTTGCACAGTGTTACCATGCCATAAGCTCCAGGCTATGTTTTGAGCATGTTTGAGCAAGAGCAGAGCCCTTTTGCGATCATGTGCATCTTTGTATAATTAAAGTGCTGCCTTAAGTAGTATCTTGATATTTTATCATAAGAAGGCACCTTTGGGCTTTCCTTGTATCATTACTGTTCCCTCAAGCTTCTTGTAGTTGAATTACTGGTATGAGAAGTGGCTGATTTGGTGTCTGCTGCAATTTATTGAAGTGTATTGTACCTCATAGTCCAGCCTGTAGCTATGGTTTACATCTTTTAGGGGGGTGCAGGGCTTTTTGGTTACCAAAAACAACAAGAGAGGTTGCTGTCTTGAGTAATACCATGCTTCTTGTTTGGGTTTTTTTTGGGTTGGGGGCATTGGAGGCTCCTAGTTTGTTTATTTTCTTTGGAAAGCTTTCTTTGCGTTCAGTGTTACTCGTGCAGTTGAGGTGAAACCAGTTAAACCTCTCTCAAGCCCAAGGTGCAAGCTGCTTTTTTGTTTGGTTTTGGATTTTTTTTTTTTGTGGGGGTGGGGGGGGCGGGGAGTAGTGTTTGGCATGTGGAGGGGCCTGTCCATGTTGAGAACCCTAAGCTGTTCTTGGGTGTCAGAACCCAGTGTCTTAGACACCAATGGATATGTTGTTTCCTAAAGCCTTGTTAGTTTTCTCTGCTGCTTGCTAAGAGCTGAGTTATTATGTATGGTAAAGATGCAAATTTAATAAGCAAAGTATGTGGAGTGGCTACTTCTAGTATTTAATAACTTGCAGTGGCATAAGGTAGGTATGTGCTGACTTCCTGCCAAAGTGCTCAGTAACCCCAAGATTCAAACCTTCATGCTTTTCAAGAACCTTAAATTTCCAGGTAGTGCAGAGATCCAGAGACTGTTGTTCTCTCTTACAGTTTTTGACCAAAATCAGGTTAAATGTTTGCTTAATTCATTGACTCTATCAAGTCTGCTAGCAGTGAAAGCTAATGGAGTACAAAGTGGTTTTCAGACTCCCATGAATCCTGTAAATAGCCTTGATACAGGTTTGTATTCACACATGCATTTAATGTAGCTGTTTGTTTTGATATAAGAGAATTAATTTCCTTTTATAGCTAAGTTTAATGTCATTTCTTCATTTCCCCATTTTTCTTTTTCCCCTTAGAGGTCTATGGATGACACTTAAGTACTTCAAAACTCCTGTTTTTTCAGCTTATTATTTTAGAAGAGCTGTGGATTTTGTTATAACTTGGGAGATACTGGATTTTCAACTGATGAAACCCTCTCCTTACAGCTTCCAGGAAGCTCGTGAAGAGCTGGCTGAATTTCAGGAGGGAAGCAGAGAATTAGAAGCTGAGTTGGAGGCACAGCTAGTACAAGCTGAGCAGAGGAATAAAGATTTGCAAGCAGATAACCAAAGACTGAAGTGTGAAGTGGAGACATTAAAGGTAGGTCTTTTCTGTAATAGCATTGGCTCTTCTTACAGATACGTTTTGGATCTCATTTTACATTGTCTGTCTGTTCTTGGTCACTGAATATCCAAATGAAGTAAAGGAGTTGTCTAAGATCCAGACTTAAGTATGGTACGTACTCCAAATAAGGCCAGCAACTTACCAGGGAAATTTCTGATTTCATTTCATTGTTCACATGAAACTCTTGTCATGGAGTTTGTGCGCATTTGTTTGAATTCTCTAGGCTTTGCCAAGTAGTAGCTTTATTAGTTATACAGGCAACATCAGCATAGCAACAGGGTGGACAACACAAGTATATTTTGTCAGATCACTGCGTTGTCATCTTTCTTCACAAACTAGTTTTTTTTTCCCACAAGGCCTCCTTGCTTTTATGAGACCTTAACGGAAGCTGAAGATGGGCAATTTGTGCAAATCTTTCAGAGAGTATCTCCTAATTCATTCTGAACAGCCATATCTGTGCAGACTGGAATTGCATAAGTATCTGCATGTGCAGAAGGTAACTTTTAATTGATGCCTCTATGTTAATGCGGTGGGTTGACCCTGGCTGGATGCCAGGTGCCCACCAAAGCTGCTCTATCACTCCCCTTCTCAACTGGACAGGGAAGAAAAAATATAACAAAAAAGCTCATGGGTCAAGATAAGGGAGATCACTCAGCAATTACTGTCACAGGCAAAATGGACTTGACTTGGGGAAAATCAGTTTAATTTATTGCCAATTGACACCGAGTAGGGTAATGAGAAATAAAACCAAATTTTCTCTACCTCCTCCCCCTGAGTGGCGCAGGGGGACAGTGGGGGTTGCAGTCAGTTCATCACATGTTGTCTCTGCTACTCCTTCCTCCTCAGGGGAGGACTCCTCACAGTCTTCCCCCATTCCAGCATGGGGTCCCTCCCATGGGAGGCAATCCTCCAAGAACTTCTCCAATGTGGGTCCTTCCCACAGGCTACAGTTCTTCACAAACTGCTCCAGCGTGGGCTCCTCTCTCTCCACGGGTCCTGCCAGGAGCCTGCTCCAGCATGGGCTTCCCCCCAGGTCATAGCCTCCTTTGGGCACATCCCCTGCTCTGGCGTGGGGTCCTCCCCAGGCTGCAGGTGGATATCTGCTCCACCATGTACCTCCATGGGCTGCAGGGGCACAGCCTGCCTCACCATGGTCTTCACCAGGGGCTGCAGGGGAATCTCTGCTCCAGTGCCCGGAGCACCTCCTCCTTCTTCACTGACCTTGGTGTCTGCCTAGTTGTTCCTCTCACGTATTCTCACTCCTCACTCCAGCTGCAGTTTGTGTCCTGTTGGGGTTTTTTTGTTTCCCCTTCTCTTAACTGTGTTATCCCAGAGGTGCTACCACTGTTGCCGATTGGCTCAGCCTTGACCAGTGGCAGGTCCGTCTTGGAGCCGGTTGGCACTGGTTCTATTGGACATAGGGGAAGCTTCTAGCAGCTTCTCACACAAGCCACCCCTGTAGACCCCCTGCTACTGAAACCTTGCCACACAAACCCAATACATCTAACAAGTTCCTGCCTCTTTTGGTATCTTGGAAAAGCATTATTTTTGGTATTCTTGGTTATTTTAGTGAAGGCAAAGGTTGAAAGCTTACCCAGTGGAAGTAACGTTTATGGGATTACTTGTTCACATATCCGGTCCCAGCTGTATCTGTAAGGTCAGTACCGTGTTCTATAAGATTGGTTGTTTTTCCATAAGCCCCTGTCTGTACCCTCAGGGCTGGTGAGAGTGTGTTTGGGAGTGAATTCTTCCAGTCTTTTGAAGATGAGCTTAGGTACCTGGAGGTTTTGTAACAAATTTCAGTGGCTCTCATTTTTGCTAATGGAGATACCAGACAATTTCTGGTGATAGTGTGGCTGTTGTCAAGGGAGAGGTACTGAAGGGGAGGCTGTGCAGTTAGATTTCTCTCTGGCTTCCTAGATGTTTGAGGCTTCAGAGCAGCTGTCAGTGCAGGCTGTTGGGAACAGATGCAGAGATGCATCTCTGAGCAGCCAGCTGTGTTATGGCGAGATGTCTGTGCACAATGCAGTATTTGTGATTTTTATACTGTGTCCAGCTCTGATGTTCAGAGCGTGTTCCTTCTACCTCTCCGACTTGTGCTCTGTATTACCAGCAATCCCAAATCAGCAGACTGAAGCAAGTATATTACTTTCTTTGTCCCATTTTACTACTGATGACTTGGAGAGTGTATGCGACTGATATTTATCTTGCTACTTCTTATTTCAGGAGAAACTGGAGCACCAGTATGCACAAAGTTACAAGCAAGTGTCTTTGTTAGAGGATGACCTGAGCCAGACACGGGCCATTAAAGATCAGCTGCATAAGTATGTGAGGGAGCTGGAGCAGGCCAACGATGACTTGGAACGTGCAAAGAGGTGAAGCCTGCAAACTCCTTCTTTCCTTCAAGTTTTCACTAGATCTTTTCTTTGCTACTCAGATTGATAATTTTATTATTCCTTAAAAGGGAAAATAACACATGTTCAAAAAATCCCAAACAAACCCCAAGACATTTGATTCTTTGAACAGTGCAGTTTACCCTTGGAGTTCACCTCCATTAGCTGGTAGCATTATGTTACAGCAAGAAAGGCAGGGAGACAAAAGTGCTTCGTGTTCCTGTGAGAAACAAGCAGACTTAGAGCAAGCTGGGCCAGAACACTGCTTTCGATACTACCAGCTAGGTGACTCTTACAATATATTTGTGATCCTTGTAGCTCAAAGCCCCTTTGAAGTAAGTACCTAATACTTTACATAGTTCCTTTTAAATAAAACAGGCCAAAGGAGTCTCCTCTTCCCTTGCATAACAGCTTAATGACTGTAGGGAACAAATGTGTCCTTTATAAATGCATAAAATGAACAGGCTGCTGTTAGAAACGCCCAGTTTTGGAGTAGGTCATGCTTCCGTTTTGCTGAATGGGAATTTTGCCATTGATTCAGTGGGAGCAGGAGTGAGCCTCTGGCTATCTGGCAAAAAGATCTGAGAGCTGAGGCCCTGTTTCCACAAGGCTCTTAACCTCATGACTAACTTTTGACACACATGAGTTATCCCACTGAAATCATGGAACGAACTGGGTCTTAGGTAATATCCCAGTGCCCTGCTTTCTGCATTTGCTGGGCTGTTGCCTGTCCACAGCTCTGGAGAGTGTAGTACCACCTGAGCTAATGCACTGATTAAATGTATGGCTTTGCAGTGTTGTTGTGGTTTAACCCCAGCTGGCAACTAACCACCACGCAGCCACTCATTTATTCCTGCCTGGTGGGATGGGGGAGAGAATCAGAAGAATAAAAGTTAGAAAACTCATGGGTTGAGATAAAAACAGTTTAATAGGGAAAGCAAAAGCTGCACACACAAGCAAAGCAAAGGAATTCATTCACTGCTTCCCATGGGCAGGCAGGTGTTCAGTCATCTCCAGGAAAGCAGGGCTCCATCATGCATAACGGTTACCTGGGAATACAAACGCCATTACTCTGAATGTGTCCCCCCCCTTCCTTCTTCTTCCCCCAGCTTTATACGCTGAGCATGACATCATATGGTGTGGAATACCCCTTTGGTCATTTGGGGTCAGCTGTCCCGGCTCTGTCCCCTCCAACTTCTTGTGCACCCCCAGCCTACTCACTGGTGGGGTGATGTGAGAGGCAGAAAAGGCCTTGACTCTGTGTAAGCACTGCTCAGCAGTAATGAAAACATCCCTGTGTTATCAACACTGTTTCCAGCACAAATCCGAAATGTAGCCCCATACTAGCTACTATGAAGAAAATTAACTTTACCCCAGCCAAAACCAGCACGAGCAAGGCTTGGGAAAAATGGAGATGGGTGCACTGGTCTGGCTCTTTCCCAGCTCTTTGGTAGATCTCTGAGAGCCAGATGCTATCATGTTCTTTTCATCTTATTCCCCTGCTTGTTTGGAGTTTATTAGTCCTTTCTAAGAGGTATTTCTATAGCTTTCAAATGACTAACTTGAATGTAGACCCTGCTAACATTTTTCTTCTATTGTGTTTTTGAATATGCTTTTATGTTGGCTGAGCTGAAGAACCTAATATTCTGGATTTTGTTTCTAGGGCAACAATAGTTTCATTGGAAGACTTTGAACAAAGGCTGAACCAAGCTATTGAGAGAAATGCATTTTTAGAAAGTGAACTGGATGACAAGGAATCATTGCTAGTTTCTGTACAGAGATTAAAGGATGAAGCGAGAGGTATGGCTTGCTTGATTAGTTCTGTGTCTTGGTACATTGTTGGCTTGCTAAGAGAGATGTGTAGCAACCAAAGCTCATGTTTATAGAAAGCCTCACATAGTGAGACTTGAACTGGATGCGTAATGTAAGCGTTAGGTATTACTAACAGTATGTTCTCTATTCTTCGTATGTCCAGTGTAGCTAAGAGGAAAAATTTCCTCATGTAGGGCAAAATTAATATCAGATTCATTCAGGTTTTTTAACACAGGTGAGTACAAAAATGCTATGTTCCACAGATGTAATAGAATTGAGGAAGTGTACTTCAAAAGTTCCCACTCACTGTGGTTTTATGCCTTGTACAGGAAGGGAAAGCACAGGGAAATGACAGGGGAATACATGATAAATGGTAAAATAACTTTCTTTAAAAATCCTATCTCCTATGTTCCTTCTAAACCTCTTGGAAATTGTCTAGTTTATTTAAGATATTCCAGTAAAGGCTGTGTTTAGACCTGTGGAATCAGAGATGTTTGGGATAGTGTTCTGGGGTATGATCAGGAGTTGGAAATTCCCCAATGGATTTCACATTGAGGATGCTGGGGAAGCATTTTTTTAATGGATGGTTGAAAATGATTTCTCTAATAGTGGGGATGATTGGCTCATAAGCCTATGCCTGACATTAATGTAGTTTAGAGATTAGTAGTTTTCAACTTTGTTTCCCAAGTGAAGCTTTCTAAAATAATTCCTCAGTTAAGGCCCAGATCTGAATGTAAGACAACACACTTGACAACAGGCTGGGATTTTTTGTTGTTGTTCTCCGTTGTGAACTTCTTTGAACCAAGTTTGTGTCCCATAAATTGAAAGCCTCTGTTGGAAGCACAGGATTTTTATAATAAGTATGAAAAGGGAGATTAAGTCCTTTCTGAGGAAATACATGTATTGTAATTTGGGGTTAGGGCAATAATAACTGGAAAAACCAGCAAAACCTAGGGGACTGTTTTCTAGAACACTGGAATAATCAGTAAAAAAGACATCCTCTTTCTTGGATGAGTCATTTGGAAATTTTTAGCATTTGTTAGGGTAGCAAAGCTACATATTACTCCCCCGACAGCAAGCAGGAATACTGGCCGCTAAAAGAACTGATAGGGTGTCAAGTGCAAACATAACATTTCTGATTGAACAGCCACAAATCCTGTTCTAGGAGCCCAAATAGATTTTCATTTTAGCTGTGCTGTTTTACTTAAAATAAGTTCTAAATATTTATGGTAACTTAAAAGCCGTAATGTACAACTAATTTTGCTCTTGCACATTGTATGAGATTGAGGCAAGGAATAAGAGGTCTGTGAAAGATTAAGTTGCTCCACCCACAAAGGAACAACCCCCTTGTAACATATTGTTTATTTGCGTCTAGTCCCTTGTAAAGATTTTATAGATTCATTGTTGAGCTGTGCTGGATGCTCTTTGTAGCAAATATGTGTGGAAGTGGGAGGGGACAAGGTAGGGGTAAGCAGCAGTCTGGAGAGGAGGGGAGAATAAAACACGGGTTTCCTAATGTCCAGTCTCTGTCCCTGTCGTTTGGACTACCCAGCATCTCCAGTCTGCTCTTCTACTTGTTGAGGCATCAAGAAACTGGATAGAACCCTTTGACTGTCTTTGGCTAGCATGGAGTCTTGTGGATTATTAACTGGAAGAATAATGTAAGGAATTGGAAACACAAGAATAGGTCATTCCTCCGTTTTTCCAGCCTCTATTTGAGCAGGAGCTGAATGTAGCTCAGCAGGCATTTGTGACCAGCTACAGTTTTTGTAACACACTTTTCATGGTACTCACACTACAGATGGGGAAAAATACTGAGGTGAAGTCACCTGCCGTGCTTGCTGGGACCACGCAGCTCTCTGGTCTTGGGAGGGCTCTGTTTGCTGCCTCTTTACTCCTAGCTGTAATGGGAAGTGATGGTATTGGGTTGTGACTGCTCTGAGCTGGAGGTCCTCACTGCTGGAGAAAGCCAGCAGCAAGCAATTCATATAGGATTGTGGCAAAGTGTTTCCTCCTTCTCCCTCCCAAATGAATAGAGAGGGTGTTTGTTAGAGAAATCACTTGCAAATATGTATTTTTTGTTTGGGGTTGTTTTTTTCTTTTTTCTTCTCTTAACGCTTAGACTTACGGCAAGAGCTAGCAGTACGAGAAAGGCAACAAGAAGTCACCCGAAAGTCAGCACCCAGTTCTCCAACTCTAGACTGTGAGAAGATGGATTCGGCTGTCCAGGCATCTCTCTCCTTACCAGCTACGCCCGTCGGAAAAGGATCAGAAAATAGTTTTCCTTCCCCAAAAGGTATAATTCATAGAAATTGTGTCTAGTTGTTTGGTGGTTTATTCAGCTTGTTAACAAAGAATTTCAGCCCAGGTGCTTTTTAGAGAACTTGAAGTAAATGTAGGTATGCGTGGATCCCACATGGATTGCATAAGGTGTGTTTAAATCCTGGGGCAGCATCAGGTGCATTTAAGGAGTATAATGAGTAAATAGCATGGAAAAGGAAGGCAATGAAGCTTAGATACCCCTTTTGGGGGTGGGCGTTTGCACGCTGCAGCAGATGCCTGCAGTAGAGCACTGAAGACATTGGGATTGCAGGGAAGTGCAGTGACTGATATTTCTGCTTAAACGTGGAGTAGCAGTGGTGGGTAAACAGTGGTCAGTGATTCTGACAGGCTAGAGTCTCTGTTACCACACATACTTTTCAGGGGTCCTGTTTTCTCTGTGAGGCAGCAGGATGTTAGTCCAGTCTCATTCCCCATCTGGAATGCTATGGACAATCACAAGGATTAATACATTATTTTTCAAATTAGAAAGAATAGATTCCAGGGGAAGCTCTGGCTGGATTAGATGGATTGCAGGCAATAGCATTGCAGATGGAGAGTGCATGAACTCTGCATGTAGGTCTAATGGGAAAGAGGGCAGCGGACAGGAGTTAAGCTTTTTCATTTTTCCATGGCTAGTGATCATGTAGTCTGTATGTTATTGTGGGGTAATTGTATAAAGAGTCTGCAGTAGGATTTTAGATTTGCCTTTTTCTGTAGAAGTTGATTTATTTATTTTTTTTTTTAAAAAATGAACTGTGGAGGAGTGGAGCATATAATAAAATGTGTCTGTGTTTGCAGCTATACCAAACGGATTTGGTACCAGCCCCCTTACTCCTTCAGCTAGAATATCTGCACTCAACATTGTGGGAGATCTGTTACGGAAAGTGGGGGTGAGTGCTCTGAACTGAAGTATTCCAGCTCTGTGCTGCTGTCACTGAGCCTTCATCCTTGTGCACAATTACAACAATGCCTTGGCCCATGCTTAATACACACTGTAGTTTCCAAATCATCCACATTCGGTGTTTAGTATGTGATAATGTTGTGGGGTTTTTTTAATCATCTTGATTTGTAAAGCATTTTTTTAATCATCTTGATTTGTAAAGCATGTTACTAAGGTTCTGATGCCAATTTTGGGTGATGAAATTCATATTTGGAGTAAAAAGTTTCTCAAGCACTTTAGTATATGGGGTTAGACACCGTCAGCTACTTGTTCTTAGTGTAAATGGGGCCTGCAGCTTCCTCTGTAATGAGACCGAGATGCAGAGCTGGATCTCAGATGCTGGGTGCCTGCTGCACACTTACTGTATGTCATGGGAGATCACACTGCTAGCGTCTCCTCGTGTGCCTGGGGAGATCTGCAACGGGTGCAAAAAATGGAAAAAAATCTAGAAAGCTTTGATAAGAAAGTGAGAAAATAAATCAGGAGAAAGCCAAATGTTCCCATCTGTAGTTGGTGATGAAGTGAAATGCATGAGCCTTTAAAGGGATTAACACTGTAAGTGGGGAAGAAGTGGTTTTAAACATCTGTTTCAGTGTTGTTTAGGATGCCAGGCTTTCCAGTTGAACGAAGACATGACTTTTGAGTTATGAGAAGCTTGTTGATGTGCCTCAGTGGTTTGTGTTTTGAGTGGAAGCATGGATAGCCTCAGTGTCTAGCCTCCGGTCCTGGCTTTCCTCTGTCTCTTGTGGTTAACACTGAGAATAGCAATAGCTGCAGTAGAGACAGTTGTTTTAGCAGACTTTGAAATTAAAAATTACCTTGTTACTCGCATTTGGAGCCAGTGAGGTCGTAGTTGGTTTGCAAGGGCAGCAGGACAACTCAGGGTTCCCGAGTGACATGTTTAAAATGGGATCATTGGGAGTAAGAGTCTGCAGGGGATTTAGGGAGCTTAATCACAATCCTATGTGATTACTCTGCAAGGACAGGAAATGCCAAATAAGCATGCTTCTTTCCCAGCTTGTTCTTAGACACACGCTCTGCCACTGAGACAGAATTCCAGCTCGCGCATTTCTTTAGTAACAATTACAGGATGTTCAGGATTTCTTTGGGTTTGACTACTTACTTGTAGGATGCCTCACCCCCCTTAGACTCCTTTTCTCTGCAAGAAGGTTTCCCTCAGCTTTCTTACTTGCAGCTGAGACAGGGAGTCACTTGGCACGATCACACTGGCTATTTCCCGCTGATAGGTGCTTTCAGACCAAGAGATAGGTCGATATCTGTATCTTCCTATACAGTCACTAAGGAAGCTTACATGGGTTTCTAGAAGATACTGTATAGTGTTCGGTTACTTCTGACAGCATGTCAGTACCTTATTAATGGAATATTTTTCTATGTGGAACAGGACCAAACCCCATGTTTGGGGAGATGAGTTTTTGTCTCCAGTGCATGCATCTGCCAGTGTGTGAATGCCCCCATGCACAGGGTGGATATAACAAATAGATTTTCTGCTGGACCAGATGGATATTCGAGTTAAGCCTCAGTTTGTGACAGACAGCAGAAGGGGCAGGTGATGTTCTGAAGTGAAGGAGAGAATCAGGATTTTGGTCTCCCTCCTGCCAGGAGTCAGTGGATGAGGCAGAGACTGTCACCTTGTATAGGGGAAAAAGATCCCACCAGGCTTATTTGGAAGTAGTAGAGGGGAAGTACAGAGCACAGAGACAGGCTTGGCTGCTGCCTTTTGATTCCTCGTGTTGCTGTGGCTGTAGCACCTCTTGTTCTGAAGCCTATCAGTGGGGCTTAGGAAACTGGCAATGGTTTGCAGGCCAAGATTAAGAAAGAAATGCTAGAAGGCATTGTCCTGGGGAAAAAATCCAACTTTCCAAATACACAGTCCGTCCCCAAACTTGAGGATTCTGCTTTAGGCTCTTTCTTAGTCCTCTGATGGCTTATGCCAGCCCTACTCCAGCTGCTGAAGCAGGAGGTTTTGGTAACTTATGCTAAGAATTGGCTTGCTTGCTTTTTTTTTTTTTTTTTTTTAGGCAATTAATAGTTCATATGCTCTAAAATCTGAGCCCTAATGGAATTGAGTCATGCCTGGCAGTCTGCGTCAGCATCTTGTTGTGTGGGTTTCCTTTGTGTTGGGTTGACAGAGAAAATGACAGCTTTGTTCCCATTTAGTTCAGTTTTTGCCACAGGTGATCACACTGGGGTCCTGATCATGGTGATCTTGGGGTCATGACAAACTCAAGCAGCAAAATACTTTCTCTTACTGATATTACTTTTTTGATGTTTGTTTTTTTTTCTTCCCTTTCATAGGCCTTAGAATCCAAATTAGCTGCTTGCAGAAATTTTGCAAAGGACCAGGCATCACGGAAATCCTACATTTCAGGGAACATTAACAGCGGCATGATGAACAGTAATGGCACAAAGTACCCTCACCCAGGGCATACTTCTTTCTTTGACAAAGGGTAAGTTGGGGTATATTTTTGTCCTAAAGCGGAGTGCGCTTCAGGATGTGACTTGGAGCAGTTTTTCTTGGCTTGTTTTTAGCCCACCACAGCTTTCATCCTATAGAACAAATTTGTGGAGCCAAAGTCTCAAGGGGATGGGGAAGGTGGCAGTGCTGACTTCTGTAAAGCAAAGAGAAAAGCAAGCATGATTGTCTCTTAGCTGGTAGGATGTCAGTGCCTGTTCTGTCCCTCTGCTGCCTAATCTCTTGGCAACTGCATCTTGGGTAATACAAAAACCCCAGGCAACAAACCTGCTAGTGAAATGTATGTGCCCTTTTGAAAGGATCTCAAGTAAGTAGTGGTAGAGTTGCCATAGCTACTGGTGTGCTCGTGCGTGGGGAAGTACATTAACCGCAAATCTGGAGATTCCCTTGGTAAAAACAGCTGAGTGCAGGCAGCAAATGCTCGCTTGGAGGGTGGTGCCCTGTTTGCTCTACTTCCCCCTCTGTTCGGGAAAGAGAAAACCTCATGAACAGCATAATTCTGGCTGATTGAGGGGGCAGTTGCCTCCATGCTGACTGTGCTGTGCGTCAGCCCTGAAGCCAGAAACTACTTTCACAGGAAAAACTACCCCACATGTCTCCTGTGACTCGTTTGTGGTCAGAGCTTCCTCTTGGATACTAGGAAGTGGTTCATAAGGAGGATTTTGCCACAGTCCCTCATAGCACAGTGGCCAGTGGTTGTATGAGGAGCCCTGAGGCATGGGGTGAAAAGCACCATGTTCCTCCAGTGTTAGCACAGTGGTATTGCGAGCTTTGCTTGGTGTCACTGGGCAAAACACCCTCCGTGCTCCCTGCACGGTAGTAGTCTTCCATGCTAAACCTCAAGCCAGTGCAATTTAATGCTAATATTCAGCACATCCTCAATCCAGAATTTATTTTAGAGAACTAAATGAGCTGTTATCAACCTAAAGAGTGCCATATATGTAGCAGACAGGCTGAGCTTCCTACAATCATCCTCACTCGAGCTGAATAGGGTTGCTACGTGGGTAGCAGGGCAAGTTGCATCTTAGAAACTTGCATTCAGAGTTTTTAGAGCCACTGTGCTGCTTTTGGAAAGGAAGAGTTTGGAGACTTAACAAAGTCAGTGTCATGTGCAAATCAAACAGACTTGTGGGTTGTCTGCATACTGCAAGGCTGACAGGGTGGGGGGTCCATGCATCACCACAGCAGTGCTCACTCTTGCAGTGCACAGGCTGCCATTCAGGTGCAAGCTGTCAGGGTAGTTGCTAGGGAGAGATTATAGCTGTTCTTAGGAGGCAGCAGGGCTATATTGAGTTGTGTGACGAATAAGCTGATTGCTATGTGGGGTGGGGGTCACTTTTAATTATCCAGATTGTCATCACACTTGTTATCTGGGCTGGCTGCCTGGAGTTGGGAGCAGGTTGTAGCTGAAAAAGGCTTAGAAACCCAGCCTCCTGATAGATAACTTCTACATCAGAGTTGGAGGATGTTAGTGAGCTGGGTAAGGGGGTGGAAATGACTGATGTGCTTATCTGCAAGTTGTTAGAGATCCCTGCATGGCCCTGCTGTCCTGTCCCTCTCCTCTGCACCCCAGAATGCTGCTCTCCTCTCTTCTTACATCAGCTCCTGCTCCACCTTCCTGTCCCTGTTGAGGTCTGTACATGCTGGGGATGATGGCAGTGTCTGTGCTGTACACACATCTCTACGGCTGCTGTGTAAAACCTGTATAATTTTGTCTGCACATGTAAGCTAAACCAAGCTGCTACCTAAATGAGGTCAGCCCCATCGTGCCCACATGCTGCAGCAGCAGCTGAGCTCCCAGCCATGCTGGCACGTGTCACTGGCAGGAATCAGATCCAGAGCGCGCTGTGGTGGCTGGGAGCGAGGGGCTGAGTCATGGCATGCCCTTTCTTCTCCCCTTCCCTCCTCTCTCTCCAGCCCCTGTACTCTCCTCCCTGCCCCTACGCTGGAGCCTGAAACAGCCATGTGTGATCACAGATCCAATCCAATCTGCAGCCACTGCCTAAAGAACAGCTGGCTGTTGGGTGGTGGGATTGGGACAGAGGTAACTTGGCCATATCATTACAGTTCCATTTACTTTCCTTCCTCTGCCATTTTGTTGGTTAAAATGTTTGATGAGTCTCCATCTCCCATCAAACACCCACTCTTTGCTTGCTGAGTGGAGCTGAGCAGGCAGTTGAAGACAGTGATAGGCAGGAGCTGGCATAGGGGAGCAGGGGTAGGAGAAATTACCTGAGCGTTGCTTTAGGGGAAGCCTGGAGGACAGCTGGGCTTGTACTGAAGCTTTGCTGGAGAACTGGAAGAATCAGGACTTAAGTACTTTTTTAAAAAAAAAACTCAGCAAAGTCTGGTGTAAGATTAGTTTCCTGCAGACTTGTTCCTTCAGGAACATGATGCTTCTGTCTAGATGCCAGGGCACAGCAGAACAGCACCTGGGGATGTTCTTAGATACTCATATTTTGCTTTTGTAGTTGTTCTTACTTGGTTATTAACTTCGATCCAGTTGGGGAACAAAATGGCTCTGATCTTGATTGGTTCCACAGAGGCCTGGCACTTGAACAGCAGAGTTGAGACAGCATGTGAGCCAACATTGGGTGTTTGTTCCTCGGGGCATTAACTCCTTGTTCACTGCTCCCCCGCTCCCCTTCCTGCTTTCTTGAATGTCAGAGTCCTTGTAGTTGATGTTTATTCTTAGGTTATTTTTGTGAATCTGTTGGACTTTCTTTTAATAAAACAACCTAAAGTTTGAATGTGAGAAGTGCCTCTGCTTGCCCACTTCTAGCTGTCCTATGAAGCATGAAGGTTTATTTACACAGTGGACACTGTTGTCCACAACCCTGATTGTAATACATGAGGCTGTGAAATCAGGGTCTTCTTTCTCTTCCCTAGTCCGCCTGTTAAAAAAGTTACCCACAGTTCCCCCTTTTCCAGGGAAACTCAGATGCCGGTGAGTAATCCCATGTCCTGTAATGTGCTTTGCAATGCTCTAGGCTTCTATCTGGGTCATGCGTTTGCAGCAGTGGAGTATGGTAGAAGTCTTGGTTGTCACTGAAATAGGACTCCTCACCTGCCCATGCAGAGCAGAGTCTCATTATGCAGAGGTCAAAGAGGTCTGGTGAGGTTTAGTTTAACACCTTTGCTTTGCCCCATTTCTTGCATACAGGGTTATGCCGAAGAATGTCTTTATGGTGTGCATAACCTGTCTCAATTTTTCTCCACTAGGCGTGAAAAGGTCATATTCCCCACCTTGGTCATGGGTAAATGAATTCCTTTGCAATGAAAAGCTGCATGCATTTTAACTTGGTGCTTGGAAGTGCGGAGTTGGTGGTTATGCTAACTGCATGAGGTAGTTCTCTTAGCATTACAACTAATATTCCATGATCAAAGCCTGAGGCAATAATCTTTCTCTTTCAACTTCTCTGGTGCTGTGACCTGTTGCAACCATAATACTAAGTGCTGCTTGCTTTCTTGATCTAATTAATATTTCTTCAAATACATGCATGTTTCTGATTTGGATCAGTCACATCAGAGATACAGGATGAAGTATCGCTGCTGTTAATTTAGTTAATTTTGAAAACGAGTTTGCCCTTTGGTCGTGTTTTTTCCTTCAGTGTTTTGTTGGCTATTGCTCTGTTGTCGTGGTTCTGGCTAATGGGAAAGCAAACAAAGGCACAGATGTACCGGGGAGCTGGCTAAAGTTACAGAGCAGGGGGAGGTCTGAAGCAGGAAGCCCAGAGCAAGGGCACAGCATAGGCCCCAGAGAGCATGTCAGGATGGGTCTGAGAGATGCGGAAACAAGGCAGAAGCAGGAGGCAAGTGATCTGGCTGGGATTAATCACTGGAAGCACGTTTCCGGGCCATTGGGCAGTGTCAGCTCCATCTAGCAGCCATGCACGTGTGCCAGGCCTGGGCAGAGCGGCTGAAAGCTGGAGTGATGCGTGTGCTCCTCCCAGCACTGAGAGACCTTGCAGACCGAGCACAAGGACTTCTCTTCCCAGCTCACTTCTGAGAGGTTAGGCAAGAGTCACCCAGCACATTTATTTGTTATTTTTTACAGTTGCTCTGTTTAATGTATTTTATTTTCCTTTAAGTCTGTTTCTAACTGCAGTAATGCTGATTTCTTTCATCTTCTTTTGTGCATTTTCACATTGCCAACAAAAATCCATGGCTGGCTAAGACCTCAGTAAGCTTAGCCATAATGCCAACTTTCAGTATCCCCCCAGTTGCTGCTACTATTTGAAGCCTTTTCCTGTGCCCCGCTTACTGAACTGGCTTTCAGCAAATCAAAGCCACTACTTTATTTCTGCACCAAGGGCAAGCTTGCACTGGCAGGATGCAATGAACGATGCAGGTAACTGACTCCAGGAGCTGATCCTAGGAGAACTTGCCACAAACAAGCACTCTGTGCTGCCTTCCTTTTCTCTTTTTTCTTTTTTTTTTTTTTTTTAACTAGCAAACAATGGGGAAATCTCAAAAGGCTTCTAAATGGGGTTTCTGTCTTTTCTATTTTCAGCAGAAAGCCTTCTCAGGTCTCCCTTGTGCATTGTAGTGCTGTGAGCACTCCACATCTTGTGCCAGTTAAGCATTAAATGTTACAAATGTTATTGCACTCATCTTCTTGCTGCCCTGCCTCTGCAATGGGGCTTGGTCTCTCTTCTTGTTTCAGGCATCAATGGATTATTTGTGACACGGGTGATTTAGGCAGAGTCCTGTCATGTCTGTGGCATCTGTGCTGAGCATCTGATGGGTTCATGGCTTCTGGCCTTGTTCATGTACTTCTGGGAGATGGAAGAGGGCACCCAAGCTGCTAAACATGTGTCTGAGCAGGAGCTGAGGAGGGTTAGAGACGTGTTGCTTCATTTAAAAGAAGAAACTGCCTGCAGAGGGAGGTCTGTCAGATGGTGATGGCTGCAGGGAGACATTCTCCCCATAGGCAGAGCTTGGGTGCTGGAAACCCAGTTTGGGAGCAGTTGGTGCCCCAGCAATAGCAATATTTGAGAAGTTTGTACTGCTTGGCCCATCCCTGTTGTAGCGCCATGTGCTAATGCCACATGTTGGATTTTGGTTCAAATATGTCATGTCAGGGAGGCAGTTAGGCAGCGGCATGGAGGTGCCTGGTGGTGGGGAATGCAGCTAGCTTGGTGTAGAGGGGAATAACATGCCAAGGTTTGAGCACTGCGGGGATGTGGCCCCTTCTGCATGGCCTCGTGCAGTGCTGTAGGGGATCGCTGGGTTGCAAGGACAGGCTGCATGGGGAGCAATGGCACTTGCTACGGGCTTGAGAGGGATCAGCTGTCCTCCCCAGCCTGCCTGTCCCACTGTGCCGCACTGGAGGTGGCATGTCTGGGAAGTCCCAGTGGAGACCAGTCAGTGCTTGTTTCAACCGAGCTGCAGACGCAGCCAGCACACCCAGGGTACTAGCATTGGCGGGGCCACATCCTGCACGTGGGAGGGGTCGGGTGCTGTCTCACAGTGTCCATCGCAAAGAGGAGCTCTGAGCTTAGTGCAGGAAACATGACAAATCAGTAGATCTTGGCTTTAATGTGACTTATCAAATATGAGCACTTCCAGGCTGATGATATTGAATGGCACTTTTCTCTAACCCTTCCAAAACGGAGCAAATGACCGCATTTAATCCTGTTTGGTCTGTCTTTCCCTTCCCACCCCACCCCATGCAGCCAGGGAGGCACTTGCCTTTTGAAATGTATGGAGCAACACTCAAGCTGAAGTTTCCAGATAATGGGGAGAAGGTGGGAAAGGTGGTTTCTCCCTGCTCTGACCCGGGCTGTGCTAGTGTGGATATTTAACAGCAAGATGGGGAAAGGAAACAGCCCAGCTCCCTAAGGCAGCTCACTGCCTTAGCATGGGAATCTGTCCTTGCTAGCAAGTGTTGAGATTTTAGTTTTTCATCTGCTCTTCTGGAAGGATTTTGTAACTGCCCAGGTGCGATGGCAGCTGCCTTCTGGGTTTGCTGGCAGGGTTTTTGCATCCCTGATCCAGGAGGTACAAGGTCACCAGTGAATATAAGCAGTGCAGGAACTGTGCACCATGTGAAAGGGAGCGTGGAAACTGCACTGCTCTGTCCCGGGCACGGTGTCATGAGCCACCCGCACGTGAGCTGCGAGCACATTGGCCCCTTAGGCAGCAACCTGGATGTGCTCCTCTGAGTGCTTGCACCAGGTGCAGCCTGGCACCCCAGAGCTGCCAGCTCCTGCGTTGGCTTTTTCCTCATCAGTAGAGCCCTCGCACTTTTTCTTCTTGGTTTTACTCGCTGCAGCTCACTGATGTAAGCAGTGAAGGCTGACTCCTGAAGTGTCCTTTCTCACAAACATAGCTCTGCCAGGAGAGGTTTGAGTGGCATCTTCTGGGGTGTGCCAGTGGTTCAGGCAGAGCTGGTGAAGTGCTGCAGAGGCACTGTTTGGGGCAGGCAGACATGAAGGTGGGGACCCATCCTGCCTTGCAGGGCTGTGGGGGATTTCCCCCACCTTCAGTATTACAAACCCAACCATAAGGGCAGGGTGCTGGTTCTGGGACAACAGTGGGGATGGATGCGCTGTCCTGATACAGGGATGTAATCGCTTCTGGTTGTCGAGGCTGTGGTGGTGGTGATCAGCAGATGGTGAGCCTGGGCAGAGGCTGTGTATTCAGCCTAATTAGAGAAGCTGTAACTGTCAAAGCTGTAACAGAGTAGAGATGGAAGAGCTGCCACACCCACATGCTCCTCTCCCAACCCACCAGGAAGGGAGAGGTGAAGGCGTGGAGAACCTGCCAACAGCCTGGGGAGGGGGGGAGCCCATGGATCCTGGGCACATGGAGGTACCCGGAGCCCCTGCTGCACCCCAGCCGGGGGTAGCATAGCATAGAGGCAACTCTGCTGTGCTTTAACATGTGCCTGCCTGCTCTCACAGAGCCCGTGTGCTGTTGCTGTGGGTGTCCATCCCCATTACAGGGCAGAGCTTGTGTAGCCCCCCGTGAAGGACCTGCTGCACACCCCTGTGTGATGGTGCTGCAGTGCAGTGCTGCCTGCACAGCCTTGGGGGCTGTGCACTGCTCGCAGACCTCTGCAAACAGGCAGCGATAAAGAGGGAACAAGAGCTGATTACGGGGACCAAGTCTGCAGTGCTGCTGTGCCTGGGGCCTTCAGCTGCACAGACCTGATCCTGTAGCCCCAGTGGGCTCAGGGTGTGTGCAGGAGCCCCTTGTCATCCCAGGCTGGTCACCTCAGCCCGCTCTGTGCAATGGAGTGAGGACCCACCTGCGTGTGTCCCTGGCCGCAGGTGGGCAGCCAGAGGTGGGAGCCCTGTCGTGGTCATATGTTGGTCCTGCGCCCACTGAGCAGCCACTGTACAGTCAGGGTGATGGATGAAGTGAGGAGAGGGGTCTTACCTTCCAGCTGCTGGTGGTGGGGAGAGGTGAGCGGTGCCATCTCCTGGGGCTGCTTGTCACTTAATGGCCTGTCTCTTGTTGCTTCTCAGGGCAGTAAATGGCTTTGATCAAGGTCCCCCTGGACTGGGAGCATCCCGACCATCCTCAGCACCTGGCATGCTCCCCCTGAGTGTATGAGCCTGCGGGAGGTTGTGTTTGGACTTGCAGATGCTTTTCTCAGCCCACCAAGAGAAGAACTGCTCCCAATTCCTCCCCATTCCTGCCCCGCTGGAACACGACCTGCACCGTGCTGCCAGAGAAGACCCTGTGCTCGCGGCCCTTCATGACATGTTAATACAGTTTATTTTCTCCTGTTGCTATAGCGGACATTCTCTGACTTGGCCCCATGCCCTGCGCTGCACAAGCAGAGACATGCAGTGCTCTGTTTCAGGGGATGCAAGAGTCTTGCTCGCCAAACCTTGGCCAGGCAGTCCTTGGCCCCTCGCTTTATCTCTTCTCTAACTTAGGTTTGGCATGACATAAACATTGGCCACTCCTATTAAAGGCTCCCCTTCTTCCTGCCTGCCTGCTCCAGCAGCCTGCTGCTTTAGGATGTGCAGCTGCTGTCCTCCCAGTATGGCTCTGATCTCTTGAAAGGGCCCCTGTGTGAGGCTGTGCGATGGCACTTTGGACATTTGCACCTGGGAATCAAATCCAGGTGTGTGACTGAGTTACTGCAGCTTAATAAATTACAGCTGAGCAGGTGCGTGGCTGTCACTGCTGGTGCATGCCTGCCTCCTGCCTTGTGTTGGGGTGGGCGTGGAGGATGAGTGCATCTGACAGCCCTGCACATCAGTGCTGGGCTCCTTGGGGACCAGGGCCAAGCAGAGGCAGGGAGGGATGGAGGTGCTGCGTGGCAGCACGCAGGGGGTGGCCGTCACGGGCCCAGCATGTGTTGGTCACAACATCAAATGCCTTAGTGTGAGCTGGCAGGGCTGAGCATTGCTGAAGTGTTCTCCCTCAGTGCTACTACACTCACGCAGGTGTGGGACAGTAACATGTTTAGCCACTGTAGCACACTCACGGTGCCTGTGGTAGCACAGCTTCCCAGCCCGACTATACCCAGCCTTCGTCAGTCAAACTTCCGTGCACCTCCACAACAGGGACTCTGTGAGAGCGTTAGGAAGCCACTAATCCAACTGGCCGCACTGCCCATGAAACCCCTCTCCCAGGACCCTGTAACCATCACAACCATGTTCTGATCTGTGTAATATATGACTGGATTTTACAGTGTCACCTACAGGCTTCTGTGACAGTTTTGGGCGACTGTGTACCTTGTGGGTCTTTCAAGCAATGTATTTGTATCTATGTGCCTCAGAATTGGTGGATTTTTAAAATGAACCAGCAAATGCAGACGGGGTTTGATCTGTAGGTTTAGAAAGCTTCATTCCCGGTCTGGTCCATCACATTCAGTTGGCTCTGCAGCTCCAAGTCGGTTTATTTACAAGCATTAGCAAAAACCATTTTAGCAGAAGGGAGGTGGGAAGTCCCCCCTTGCCGTTAAGGTTTGTATGTTCCTCCTTTCCCGCGCACCCTCTGCTGCATTTGACTGTTTACATTTGTTTTATTGTACATAGGTTTGTAAACATAATATCTTTGCCTGAGATCTTTGTACATAACTTGGGCTTTGTAGCTTTATTTATTCAGAATCTATATGGCATGTTTCAATAGGACAGCATACCATACCACTGTGGTAACACAGATCATGATGTGGTGTGAAAAAAACAAACAAATGAGAGTAATCTTCCAAAAATAAAGTTCTTTTAATGTGGAATCATTGGATTTTGCAGAAATTGTGGCAGTGCTGTATTTTGTCGTGTAGTATTTTCTGCCAAGCCCCAGGGAGGGGTTGGCAGTGCTGATCTGCGCTGCCATGCACCTCCTGCTCTCCTTTCCTTGGAGTGTTTCTTCATAACTCAGTGGGTGCACAAAGGGCAACAGCCGCTGCTGGAATGCGGGCTGAGCAACCACCTTTCCTCTGCTGTAGCCTCTGCTCCTGGCACTGAAAGTCCTGGGGGCTTGGCTGAGTCCTGAGTTGCAAGATTTCATAGTTATGGAATGGTTTGGGTCTCACCAGAGTAGAGGGGCAGAATCCCCTCCCCCGACCTCCTGGCCACACTTTTTTGATGCAGCCCAGGATATGGTTGGCCTTCTGGGCTGCGAGTGCAAAGTGCTGGCTCACACATCCAGCTTTTCATCCACCAGTGCCCCCAAATCCTCCTCTGCTGGGCTGCTCTCAATCTCTTCACCCCCCCAGCCTGTATTGATATCGGGGGTTGCTCCAAACCAGGTGCAGGACCTTGCACTTGGCCTCATTGATCTTCATGAGGTTCACACAGGCCCACCTCTCCAGCTTGTCCAGGTCCCTTTGGATGACATCTTATCCTTCTGGCGTCAACCGCACCACTCAGCTTGGTGTTGTCTGCAAACTTGCTGAGGGTGCACTCGATCCTACTGTCTATGTCATTGATGAAGATATTAAACAGCACTGGTGCCAGTACGGACCCCTGAGGGACTCCACTTGTCACCAATCACCATGTGGACATCAAGCTGTTGACCATGACCCTCTGGATGTGACCACCCAACCAATTCCTCATTCACCAAACAGTCCACCCATCAAATCCATCTCCTGCCAATTTAGCAAGAAGGATGTTGGGGGGACCCTGTCAAAGGCCATACAGAAGTCCAGATAGATGACATCTGTCTTCCCTTATCCACTGATGTAGTCAGTCTGTCTGGCCAACCATTAGGTTGGTCAGGCAGGACTTGCCCTTGGTGAATCTGTGCTGGCTGTCTCAAATCACCTCCCTGTGCTTTAGCATAGCTTCTAGGAGGATCTGTTCCATGATATTCCCAGGCACAGAGGTGAGGCTGACAGGTCTGTGATTCCCAGTTGGTTTGGGGAAGAACATGAAGATATGTTAGAGGCCTCCAGCTGCAGCATCCAGGGCTTTTTGCCTTCTGGGAGTAGCTGAAAGGTCTTTGCTCTGCAGAACAGCTGGGCTCAGGGCTGGGGCCCTCCCCCAGGGTGCTCTTCCCCTTCCCCTGTGCCTGCTGGGCTGACGGAGCTGTGGCAGCCCCAGGGGCCCTTGCTGCAGCCTGTGCCTGCTCCAGCTCTGCCCCTGCAGCACCCTCAGCACGGCAGTTTTGCCCCACACAAAGGTCGGTGCTGCCTCTCACAGGCCGCTGAGCTCAGCTCCAGCCCAGGCGCTCCCGAGGCACAGCAAAGGCAAGCCGCCACCCGGGACAGCTGTTCCAGCACCAGCTGCCCAGGAGAGTCAGGGCTGTGGTGTTCCTGCTACAGAGCCTCCCTCCTGCCGCTGACCAGGCTGGCCCTGCCCCATCCATGGACAGGCACCTGGCAGCACACCCTGTCCGCTGCCGGGAATGCACTCGCTCCAGCTCCTACCATAGCCGCCATCCCTGCCCCATGCAGGGGAAGGCTGCACACCCCACCTGTGACCAGCTCCCTCCTGGGGGTGCAGTGATTTGGGGGGGGAACAGGGTCACCCTCCCTGCAGTCAACCTGCCTTCCCCCTGTTAAAAAGCCCTAGGCAACAGTAAACTGTTCAGGCACAGAGTCCAGGCCTCCTGCCTGATGTGTGTAAACCATGACAGAGACGAGGAAAAGCCCTTCCACCTCCCCTCCACTCTTCCCAGCATCATCCCAACTACAGGAGAAGCCACAGCCACAGCATTGAAGGGGATATTTTAGCAAAAGATGCCCAGGACAGAACCGGGTTCCAGAAGCTGGTGCCGGGGACCAGGGGACCCCCACAGGCCAGGCAGCTGGAAGCAGAGGTACCACTGGAAGGGCCAGAGCAGCAGCCACTTCCAGCTGCCCTGTGCAGCAGAGCCTGCACCCGAGCTTCCAGCTGCCCCAGCCTTATCAGACACTGAGCTCTGCTCCGAGGCTGATGAGTGGAGCAGGTACTGCACAACAGGACACCCAAAACAGGAAATTTAACTGCTCAGAAAAGAGACCAGATCCTGCCAAAGGCAGAAATAAGGGCTGTGGCTGTGCCATGGTACTGAAGGTCAGCATGAGGTTTCAGACCTCCCTTTGTGCTCGATTAAAGTTCAAAAGCAAATGGCCTGGTCAAGGGTTGAGCCTTTATGCTGTATTTAGGTCAAAATAAAAGGAGGGGGGAAGGGGGGGGAACCAACCACCTCACAGCCCAAGCAATCAAAACAGTAAGAAGGGAAAAGGCAGCTTCCAGTCATATTCTCATTTATTAAGGTCTATGCCAGCCTCAGGAGATAGCTCTTCCTGTAAGTAAACAGAGCAGGCGGCTGCATCTATAATGAATAAATTTATTGTCTTACAAAAATCATTGTCTAGAAATATGGGTATACAAGAAAACAAGATAGTTGCAGTCAGATGCCTGGTGGTCAACAGCCAGTTTGATTAAAAGTATCCAAACACACACAACAAAACCTTTGCAACAGATGTTAAAGCTTTTAACCAAAAAAGGAAATCCATGTTTTTTTGAGCATGTGGCAGAGGAAGTTTCCTAGTTAACACTGATTCATTGTCACTAATATCAATAATACCACTTAGACTAGAGAGGTACATGATATGAAGCACAGTCAAAATTAATACATTAAATCATTGTTATATAGGCAAATTATATATGTAACATTGTCTTAGTACTGTAGTGTCTAAGGCACTTTCTGTAATGTCAGTTTTTCTGCTATTTAAACAAAAAGTACACTAACTACTCACTGTAATACTGTTCAAAATAAAAAACCAACAACAACAACAAAAAAAAAAAAAGGATTCACATCCACTGGCATGTTAACTCGTAGGCAGGCAACATCCATCACTGAACCCCTGTATCCACAGGCTCACACGAGCCCCACATGCACAGTACAGGTGGCCCTGCTGCTCTCGGAGGGCCATGGGACCAGCTCCCCCAGTAACACCAGGCTGGCTGCTCAGGTATCACATAAGCCTCATCTCACAGTGCAGCTGCTTGGCTCCATGTCCTGAAGACTAACTCAGCCATAAATTAATAAATTAATTTTGCCTGTGTTGTATGTTTATTTTCCACTGGTGTTCACATTATACTAGCCTTAATATATATACAGATCTGTTGGGCATGGTAATAGCAGGTCTCTACAAACACAGAAGTACTGTACAGATGAGGAACGGTGATGCTATTTCAGTTTGCCTGTACTGCAGGAACACTAACTGATGAAGCAGGTGCTGAAAACACTTCAAAATGATATTGCAGGTTAAAAATAGACACTACTCATTCATCCCTACATTTCCCTCTAACACTTCCCAAGGCCTTTTCACAGTTCACTCGCTGATTGTGTGCTGATCACAACAATTAGGAGAAAAGAAAAATACAGGTGCAGTTTGGTCTTCAATGATCCAACACTCAATACAGCCAAGGGCCGTCTGAGCACAGAAGAAATGGAAGGATGTTGTCTGTACAACAAAGCATGCATAGTCATGACAATGGGTCTGTCCCAACCACCTACCCTCTGGGAATGAAGTTTCTGTATTGATTAAAAAAAAGTTTCATCCTTCACATGATGCTTTATAAAATGGCTTTACAATGAGTATCTGGAAAATAGATGCACTGAACAGAGACAATCCCATTTTGTTTACTATATATAAAAAAGCAGTTGTACCTATATCTGAAGCAGGGTACAGTATGGTGAGGCTAGAGAGCCTTAAGACATAGTTGACCTATGATAAGTAACCTTGTAGCATGCCGACGTTTCGTAAGGCAGATTTACAGCCACAAGGCAGTTCGGTGGTCAGGAAAGTTCTCCTTCTGCCGACTATTGTGTAAAAGGTCTCTGCATGCAAATGCTGTGACATGGCTCTACTCAGCAGGGGCCGGCTGCGCTTCGTTCACGTCGCTGCCTTTGCTCTCCACATCGTCATCTGAGAGCTCCAGAGAGGCCCCTTCAATGTGCAGCTGGCGTCTCCCAGATCGACTCGAGGAGAAGGTGATGGGGCCCCCCCTCCTGCAAAAAACAAGCAGACAGCAATTGCTGATAGGTCATGTCTCGCTCACAGACCAAGTCCCCATGCTGGTGGCTGCCCCTGAAAGACCTCCCTACTGAACTGTGGGGGAACACGGCAGCATGCTCCAGGCCACCCAAGGGGCAAATTTCACACACAGCATTTTGAAACCTTCTCTTTAACCAAGGGTTCAGTATGCTGTGCGCAAACACGTTCTGGTACTCTGGTATTCCTGCTTAGTTTATACCATCACCTTAATTTGGCAAGTCTCAAGTAACTTAAAATATTGTCTCTGTACAAGCACCAAGCACAGACCAAGTATAAACAGAGTGGGTTCTCTAGAAGAAAAAAAAAATTGACCGCTCATTTGTAAGTGCTGCACTGCACCCCTCCTGCCATTCTTACAAGCCCACTAGTTCAGCTGCTCTCCCTGTTGGGATGGTTTTTGTTCTGCACCAGCCTCACCTTTGCTGACTCCCATCCATACTTGATACAGACTTTGATCTCAAAGACCTGCTCTCAAGGAAAGTGCTGAAACACTCCCACCAGATCGGGATAAAAGGGATCAGTACTAGCCACTGGAAAAGCGCACCTGAGCTGTCTCCTCTGTCACATTTATCTATGGATGGATTGAACTGGCAACTCCAGGGAACCTGCCAATGTAAGCTCCAAAGAGTTCAGGCTCAAGAGCTGTCAGGAATATCCCTGTCATCTGGCAGCTTCTTTGTCACCATCATCAGGCTTGGTCAGCAGTTCCCAGCAGGCTCCAGTTTGACCCATCCCCTAATGTTAGCAGCTCAGCTTCTGCAGTGCCACAGCTGGATGCACCCCAAGGATGTATTATGGAGACAGTCTGTGGGCACACAAGGGCTTAGATAAACCCCTGCCTGCTGCTACTGGCACCACTTACCTTAGCCTGTTTTTCAGGGTGCTGACCTCCCGGCTCAGGCCCTCGTTAGCCTCTGTGGCATCATCCAGCTCACGCTGAAGTTTACGTCGCGAAGCATTTGCACGTGTGGCTTCCTCTTCAGCCTCCTCCAGCTGTCGTTTGAGCTGCTTCATTCTGGCATTTGCCTTTTCCATCTAAAATACAAAACCAGATCATCAGAATCAAACTCAGCAGCTGCAACCCCACGATTTGGGAGGTCAGAGAGGTTAGCTAACACCCTGTCCTCCCTGACCACCCTGGCTGGAGATACCAGAGCTAATACAGGGAGGCTTTGACTGCTGGGAGCTACTCTAGTGGTTTAGTGATCAAGATGGGGGTTCCCTCAAATGTTTTCATTAAAATGCTTCTTAACAAGCCCTTTCTACTCAAAGTATTGTTTTGTATGCCTTTGCTAAGAAACAGAACTCAGAAGCCTTCCACCTACCTGCTCCTTGTACTGGTCTGCATGTCGACGCTCATCCTCCACCTGCATGAAGACTTCTTTCAATTTCTTCTCTGTACGACGGACCAATTTGTTAGCAGCTGCTTTTTCCCTAGAATAATCAAAAGCCATAATTTGTCCCAGTACTTCAAGGCTAGGAACACAAGGTCTGTCCTTTTCAAAAGGCTCTTGTCTCATTGTGTAACTGACACTTGAGTCCTCTTAACATACCTGCCACCATCAACAGAACTTGGTTTTAATATGCTGCAGGCTGGCTGGGATGCAGCTTTGAAATAGTAAAGTATTAGCACTGGAGCAATATGAATATGGTATGCACGCTAAAGAGACGGATAGGGAGGTGCTTCTTCACAATGAGATTCAACAGAGCAGCTTTAAATTTATTGCTAACCAGTAACATGGTCTTCCCACAGATCCAAAAGCATAAAAGGATTGGAGATGGTAACAAGACAGCCCACCTTCAGTCCTTCTGGGAAGAACTACCAAAAGAAAAAAATTTGGAGGACTGAGATGGAAAGGACAGGCAGAAAGCGCCCACTGGAGAAAGCAGACTTCTGCAGAGCACAGAATTCATCTCAAGTGACTAAAGCTCTCATGCCTAAGCTGTTCAACTTGCTTCCTCTAACCAAAGAGACCAGGTGTCTCAAGGGGACATTTCATCTTGTCTCAAGAAAATTCTGCAGCACCGTGTGCATCCTGGGACTAGCAGTCAACATATTCACCTGGTTAACTTCAAAAGTTAGTTCAGCAGTTTCAGTTACAGAGCAAACAGATTCTGAAACTTTCCACCCTAGTCACTTTACAGCTGTCTTGTTAAGTGTGTCCCTTAAGCAGTAGGTTTCTAGATAATAAACCCTAATGCCTGTGCTGTAAGCTCACATCTCAGCCCTACAAAAAACTTAAGGCATGGGTATTTCAGACATTCAGCTGACAAAGCAAACACAGGCAAACAGATTTTTTTTTTCTCCTTACTTGGCTTCCTGCTCAAGCTGTTCTTCTAGCTGCACAATCTTGGCTTCTAGAGTAGAAATTGTTGCCTTGAACTTAGACTTCACAGATCCCTCCAGTTCCTGCAGCTTGGCTTTCAGCTCTTTGTTCTGCCTTTCCAGCTGCTGCCGTGCATTTTCACTCTTCTGGGCAGCACTCCGCTCCCCAGCTAGCTCAGAATTAAGCGTGTCAACCTTTCAGAGGAGAAGAATAGAAGATCATTTGGTGCTATTCAGAGCCTCCACTTAACTGCACACTGAAATACAAATTTCCCCAACGGCACTGCCAACAATGGATTCACCTGCAGCGTGGTCTTTCGGAACCGCTCATTGAGAAGCTCCATGTTGCTCTGCTCTTCCTCAAGCTCTTCCTCCAATTGTGCAATACGAGCTTCCAGACGGCGCTTCTCATCCAGCAGTGCCGACCTAGAAAGGAAGTGTTTGGGTCATGACACATTCAGATCTGATACAAAGCAACCAGCTAGTTTACTTCTGATACTTTAGTCATTGCAAATTGTCATGAGAAGCCACTGTGTCAACAATTCTCTTCATAACAACAAGGAATTTATATCATGAAGACAGATCAATACAGAATTTGCAAGCAGACTACAGAGAACTACAGTTTCTGGTGCCTTAAGTTCTTCAGATGCACAACTAAAACATTTGATGACTCACTTTCCAGAAGCACTGTTCGCAATCTCATCAGCCAACTCATCCCTTTCTTGCTCAGCATGACGACGGGCTCTTTCAGATGCAGCAAACTCCTGCAAAGGAAAAGATTCATTACAGCATTAGGAATCTCAAAACTTCTGCAAACAATTTAGCCTTCTAATAACACTACACAGTATCTCCCAGAAGTGATATCACTGAGGTCTTTAAATGGATAAGCAGAAGCAACAGCTGTAGAAGCTAGCAGGACACATCATCTTGATATTTCACCCCCTTAACTGCCATATGACTGCAATGGATTTACTTCTCCCTGTCCCTGAAGCGTTCCTTGCACAAAATTAAGGAGAAAAAAATAAAATCTGTGAAGATCAGTAACATTCAAGTCCTAAACAGCAGGAGAAAACTATTCTGTCACATGCTCTAATAAACACATTCAGTGTAAAGTGGGCACTAAATTAAGTAAATGTTTCAGGTTCTTACAGAGTACATAGCATGAATGAAAGCAAAGTATAGAAAATAAAAGCTTTAGCACAACAGTAGAAACAGCACTGAATCTCATATTATAAAACTGTATTACGTGGTAGAAACACCCAGGCATTTGCTAAGAAGGACAATTAAATGCTCTGCAAGTGCAAAACTGACAAGTTTGAAGTCCACAAAAGAATGACATGGAAAAGCTCTAGTAAGCTGTAGGTTATCTATAAAGGCTCAAACAGTAAGTGTAGTGAAATTTGAGCAATTGCTTCAAACTTTGGTCTGTGGCTAATACAGGACAAAAAAAGAAGCAGTCTCTCACACAAGGCAATTCTGCTGATACTTGACCTCGTGGCAGACCAAAGAGATAATAGGAGATAAGTGATCATAGCAAGGCTTGGAGATCTTACATGATTTGCCAACTATGAGGGAACACATGCCCATCAAGGAAAGGGATGAGGACCTAAGATGGCAGAGTGATAAACCTCCACAGACTTAAATGGTCCACTGAGGTACTGGAGAGATTGTTAGGTTTTTATATATTTCCAATAACTGATTTTAGTACTGACACTGTGCATTGCACCTTTCAGAGACTCTTGAACCACCTTGCAAATTTTAGTGAGGCATCAAATCTGTTTAAGCAGTAGTAAAGCTTTCCTGCTACCCAGGCAGGGAAATGAAGTCCAGACTACTAGAATAATTCCTACAAAGCCATAAGGAGCTCACTAATGACCTGGGGAAGGGGGGAAGAGAAATATCTCCAGGCTCCAATTTCTCTGTTCAACTCACTAGATTGCTTTTTAATTTTTTTTTTTTTTTAAACTCTGATCTTCCCCTTGCTCTAGCAAGAAAAACAAATTTCTTTGATTTCAGTCTCACCTCTTGGAGCTGGAGTATTTCTGCTTCAAGACCTTTAAGTTTCTTTTCACTCTCTTTGGACTGTGCAAAGATCTCATCTCTGGATGCACGGGCTTCTTCCAGCTCCCGCTGGTAGTCTTTCATTTGAGCCTGCAGTTGGAAAGCAGGGGAAAGAAAAAGCCATGATGCATTAGGACAACCACAAGATTTATTAGTAGCTCTGAAGCATTTGGCCCTTGAGAGGTAAGACCTTCCTCCCAAAGTGGCTCCATTCCACTGAAATACATTTTCAGTTCTTATTTTCATAGTAAGACTTCATTTTCTCATCTTTCCATCGCTCACTTCTCATCAGAAATGGTAAGTCAATCCCATTATAAGACTTCACTTCATTTATCAGTATATTTCTTGTAGGGAAAATACTTCTAGTACAGAGTTGCTCAATTACATTTATTATGAAACTTGGAGAGGTAATGCTCTTGGAATTGACTTTTGGGGAAAAAAAAAATCTATTTACTTAAATTGACTGATGAAACCTATTACTAGTATGCAAGGTAAGAAACTTCTCAGTGTAGAAATAACATAATTCACCATTTTGCACATATAATGTACAAGCACATACTTCTTCCCTTAGGACACTGTTAACACAGGCTGAGATCTTAATTCACGTGAGTTTGACTTGAGATGCTAGAAGAGTAATAAAGTTGGAGAAACTGCATTTAAGTTGTATCTGCATCTTTAGAATACCACCAGTATTCATGAGGCCACTATTTCAGGTACTTGTATGAAAGTGTACAGCACTCGGGTATGAACTCTCTAGCTGTCCTGTCCTCTTGGACTAGAGAAGCAGAATACTGCTAGGTACCAGCATTTCTTGCTTTAACCTACATTCCCTTCTCATTCGGCACCTGGACTCAGTTCCAGAATTGCCCTCATCCAATTGAAGTAGGATTTGAAGTAGGATTGCCAAGGAAGAGAGTGGACAGGGCAGAAAGGCAATTTAATTTGCTGTATGCTTTACATGGTCTTGCCATGGCCTCATACTCCTGCAAATTTGGGCCATGGCACTGAAAATGTTTGGCAAAACTGAACTCTACTAAATGTTGAATATTTTTCTGGGAATGGGAAATAAATCCTTGACACAAGTACTGGCTTTTTCTTGCCAAACTAAAAAGAATAGGCATCTTGGAGCTTTTTAAAAGCAACTGAAATTTACTCGTCCTTTCTCTCTGGAGCATTTTTGGCTGAAAATGCCTTAAAAAGTTCAACTTGAGGAAGCAGCAGTCAGCAAGAGCTGAGCTCAAATCAGTACATTCAAAGATACAAACAAACATAAATTTTAAAAATGCAGCCTAGAAAGCAATACCCATAAATCCTTATGCAAAATCTTGAAATAAAGAAAAATATGACTGTTGAATAGAAGTATGTGGGAGACAATCTTAACTCCTTACCAACAAAAGGATAAGAGTTTTGTGCAGGTGATAAGTTCAGGCCAGAAACTATGATGTATGTCAGCACAGCCAAGTCTAATACTCCTCTTGCCTTCAAGCTACAAATGTATTTAATGAAAAGCAACACCTTTGACAGACTGTCACTAGGAGAGAAAGCAGCTCAGTTGATTAGCTGTGCCTACCTGGAGCTTCCGTAGCTGTTTGATTGCTTCATCTCGAGCCTTGTTTGCAGCTTCTATCTGACCTTCCAGGTCTTTTAGATCCATCTCCATTTTCTTCTTGGCTGCCACAGCAAGAGCCCTCTGTTTGCGCTCATCTTCCAGTTCTGCCTCCAGCTCTCGCACCTGTGAAATCAAGGCATTTAACAGGCTCAGTTCCAAGAATGGAGCAAACACAAAATCCTAACAAAATGGTTGTTGACTCCAAAAGGCCTTTGCAGATCAGAATTAACGTTACTCAGTTGAAAAAGACTACAGAATGTGAGCTACATGGGAAGACACTGCAGATGGCAAAAACAAATCCACAAACTGGAAGCAGAGATCTCTGAACTGACAAAAAGGAAAAAAGACAACTCAGCATCTGAAGCATTTTCATTTCATCTCTTCAGCTACGTAGTGATCAGTTTCTTGCCCAGCACATCTATCCACATTTAGGTATTACTTTAGGGCAGATGTCACTAATTCCAATTGAACCGCTAAGAGGAAAAAAAGAAGTAGAATTGCCTCATTTTCAATAAAAAGAAATCATTCCCTTTGAAACAGCTGTTTCACTAGCATTTACTAGCTGTTTCACTAGCATTTATACACCAACTTATTTTTCAAAACAAAACAAAGATATCTAAGCAGCAAGCCAACATGAATTACACCAAACTTATGCAAAAATAAAACTGAGCCAGAAATGCCACAGGTTACCAACATGAAATATTTTGTTTAAGCAAGTCTCCCTCCTCATGCTAGGTCAAGAGCTCATCCAGTGCAAGATAATAGCGATTTTGCATTGCAGTGAACTTCAAAAGCCCTCCAAGCCATGTTTATTTGTGAGAGAGTGGTGATTCTCAGTAATTGTACATTTTTGTTTTCTTGTGATAAATCTTGAAATATTGGGTGTGTTTTCCTCAAAGCTTAATGTTAATTTAGAACCATGCTTGCATGTTGAGTGTTTTTGGAGGGCCATCAGTAGCAGACTAACACTAACAGTTGACAGTGGCCTATCTTCAACAAGACCTATTCTATTGTTTGTAAAGATTAGTGCTTGGGATTTCTATAGGATGGGATCTTTAAGCAAAAAAGTTTTATTTTTCTGGTAGCAAGTTATCACTGAACCCACAGAGCTTTAACAAGAGAACCTCACACCCTTCCCACTATGAAGCACAGTAAAAAAAAAAAAGTACAGTAAAATAGACATACTTGTTTAACCAGCATTCTCTTTTTCTCTTCATTCTGCTCATCTCTGGCTTGCAGATCTCTCTCAAACTGGGCTTTCATAGCTTGCATGTTCACCTCCAAACGAAGCTTAGCATCTTCTGTGGCCTGCAGTTCATCTTCCAGTTCTTCAAGCTGAGTCCTCATCTCTTCAACCTGTTGCTCTAGAGTTCTCTTTGACTTCTCCAGTTCATGGACCTAAGCCACAAACATTAATCAGACCCTCTCCTTCAGGTATCTCAACATCAGCAGCTATTAATAGCAAAATAAGAAATTACATGCACTCAGTACACTACATTTTGTGATGTTCCGAATTGGACAATGAATCAGAACAGGCAAAGCAGCATCTCTAAGTCTGTATTAGAGAACCCAACAAACATCTATGCAGATGGTTGGAGAGATGAACTGTGCAGTGTCACAGAGAAAAAGTAGTAGTGAGACAAGCTCTCAAATCTAGTGCAGGTGCCATTAGTCATTCAGCCAGCAACTTCTGCTCTCCATGTCTTCACATCTTTTGAAGAGGCCTGATGTTAATAAAAACCACCCCCCTTTTTCCGAGTGTTAATTCCTCCAGAATTTTGGGTTATAAATCAGCTTCAAAAAGTTCTATTTTTGTGTCAAATGTACTTCTCCAGCCAGGGAGTTTTCCTGTGTTATTCCCTATGCAGTATATAACAAGACAGGGTGTGGAAATGCACTTACATTTTTGCCCACATCATCTTTAGAGCTCATTAAGTCTTCCATATCTGCACGCAACTGTTTGTTTTGTCTTTCAAATTCTTCCTTAGCTTCCAGGGCTTCTTCCAAAGCCCGAGCCAGAGACAGCGCTTTGGTTTCCTTCTCCCTTGCTTCTGCTTCAGCACGATCTCTTTCCTCTGCATATCTGGCAGAAATGTTCTTTTCTTCTGCCAGCATCTGAACGTGAGAAATAATTAATCCATCTCATAAGTTCTATAATCAGGTCCTTCCTGCCTCAGGTGTTTTAGTCAATGAAATGGTTAATGCTCTAAGTTTAATTGGCCTTCAGAGGCTGTCTAGTCTCTCAGCTTTGAGCAAAGTGCTAGTAAGAAAACAGGTACAGCTACTCTGGGATGAGATGAGGAAAGCAAGCTACTAATCAAGATTAAGTAAGTTTTATATTATTTTCATCTTTCAGTCTTCACATCCTTTCTTGAGGGATTACAATCTTGAGGGATCTATCTTGAGGGATTACAATAATACTCTTAAGTTTTTGTTCCAATATAATTTCCTTTTTGTCTATAAAGAGCTTATTACTTGATCTAACAATACTCAAAGCTGGCATTTAGCTCACTGCAGTTATAAATGACAAGTTACACTTAACAAAAGCCAAGCTGCTCACAAAAGATTTATCACAGTACTCTAGTCAGACCCTTCTTTATACAAGGCTCATTTGTGCAGTAACAATATAAACAAGATGCCATTTAAAAATCATAGAAAGAAGTAAGATGACAGCAACTAGACTACCTGATCAAACTTCTTCTGCTTTTTCTCCAAGTTAGAAACAATCTGGCGCTGATGATCTAGATCTACCATCAAGTCATCCAGCTCTTGTTGCAGGCGATTCTTTGTCTTTTCCAGTTTGTCATAAGCCATTGCCTTCTCCTCTAGGCGTTGGCTTAAGGACTCCATGTCTTTCAATAATTTCTTCTTATTTTCCTCCAAGCCTTCAATGGTTCCCAAGTCGTCATCTACCTTTTTCTTAGCATCAGCCAACTGAAATTTAATAAAAGAAAATAATGTTCCTTAGTGCATCATGAGAAGGAAAGAAAGGCATAAGGTCCAAAATACAAAACCAGAAATAGATGTTATTGCTAACTAAAGTAACACAAAAAATTGTGAGCTAGCAGGATACTAAGTAGGGGAAAGTCCTGTCCATTGCAGTTAGTTGTACTAGTCATTATTGCAATGGAGAAAGACCACAGGAAATTTTATTCCAAAATCTGGTCTAGCACATGTGCAAATTACATGACATTTTTCTGAAAGGTTTGGGACACCAATTCATCTCACCTGGAATGTGTAGGCCTTATAGAAGTCCTGCCATTTACAACAGCTTACCTGTAACTGCAAGGCAAGCATCTGTTTCTCCAAGTTCTTTCTGGCCTCTTCTTCCTCTTCCTGCTGCTCTTGCAGGTTGTTCTTCTCCTCTTCCAGCTGCCTAATCCTACTGCTCAGGTTGAGCTTCTGGCGGGTTTCTTCCTGAAGCAGCTCCTGTTACATAAACAGGCATATTCAAAGTTCAGTTTGGTTCATAGTGTGTTAACTGTGGCCTTGGGCTATCACCTTCCATTACTCTATATGGAGTTTCAGGTTTGATTATTTTTCTCACAGCATTTTTGTACAAGGACATGCTTATGAAGACATCTAATTTGGGTTTTCAAAAAGGCACTGCTCGTTCATCTTGGGCACGCTTAAACATTTATAAAGCATACTTCTGATCAGGGAATCCATGCAACTGTCTGTTCTAGAAGTTAATGGATGACACTCTTCCATCTTTAAAAGGACAAGCACAGAAGTCACCTTCAAAACTTATTTTTCTTCTTTCAGACAAGCATGTAGAGTCCCTATTTTAAACCACCTGGGAAGAATATATAGCAGCAAATCCTGCAATAGCAGCATGCTTCCAAGTTTTGCTGCATTGCTTAAATATAAAGGTCAGTTTAAAGATAGATTTAATTTGGCACTGGAAACTTCTGTCATAGTGGAAGCTAATAAAAGGTGTAACCACCCCCCACCCCCCCATCCTGTTCCTCACAGACCTCTCCAGTTGTGATTA